GGTCCTGGTGCCCCAGGTTGTCTTCTGTAATCCATGCTCCACACAGAAGCCTCACTCATCCTCCTAAAACATCAAGCTTCTTTACCATTTTCCTGCATGAAACCTTTGAGTGGCTCTCCACTGCCCTCAGGACAAAGCCTGTACATTGCAGTATGATAGAGAGGCTTTCTGTGACCTGAGCACCCTGCTAACTACTGATGTCCCACGGATCAAGCCTCCAGAGGACACTTGGAAAGATGACCCAGCCACATGAGATGTCACCTTCAGGTTGGTCTTATCCACCTCTGCAATCCTAACCCCTGAGGAGGTCAAGAATCTCACTCACAGGTAGAGGGGATCTTAAGAAACACAACATGTAAACCCCCTTTTTCTAGGCAGAAGACATCTAAATCATAGCAGGAAGAGGGCTGACGCTGTCTCCAAGACCTCCCCCATCCCTGAGTCTGACTTCAAAGGAGCTCCTCTGCCAAAGAGTGTTTTAGATAAAGAACAAAAATACCCTACAGGAAGTCACACCCATTTAACATTGACACTAACAATCGAATTGAGAAACTTTTTCAATCATGTGACTGTTCTTCATATAGGGGTAAAATACAAAGCAATGTCATAGAACACTGTTTAACATGATCATTTTCCAAACAGATTCTCCTCTCCAGAGTAGCCCCGTTGCATTCATCTGCAATAATAGTTGTCATTTGCACAACATGAGAATGACTTTGACAGCTATGCTGATCTGGGGAGAGGACAGCGGACAAGTCAAGCAGGACAAATTAGTTCTGGAAAATCAGGCATTTGCTGGGTCACCCTGGAGTTTTCAGCTTTGAATTCGGCTTCCCAGAGCATTAAGTCGGCCTGAAATCTTTCTAAAATGAGAACCATTAAAGTGCCAGTTGCGCAGAGCAATTCGTGAGCTGCCAAACAGATGGGAGCCGTGTGGAAATAAAAGGCTGCAAGCGTAACAAAGGCACAAGCCTTGGCTCCATTGCCTTACCTTGGACATGAAAGTCACAGCACAACCTGAGCCCACTTCCCAGGAAAATCATCTGTGCATGAAAGGAAACACCACCACGAGAGAGATGAGACTCTCAATGCAGAGACAAAAATGTTTTAAATGAGGAGGCCCCACTTTCTGTCTATTTCCTTCTCCCTTTTCCATTTTCCACTCTCCTAACCAAACCATGCCCCAAATTCTACCCAAGGAACCCCACACTCACCACAGCTGTGCGCTCCTCATCCAGCCACAAGACTGTCCATTTCTCCACGTGAAAAGTGCATGTGCTTCTAACTGTAGGTTTCATGCTGAAGTTCAAGGTCAGTACAGGAAGCAAAGGGCTTAGGCCCTCCCATATGCCATGTCTTCCTTCTATCCTGGCCTGTCTTTTGTGGCAAGATGCAACCGTGCAGAGATGGTGCTGCCACCTTTAGGCCAGGCCCAGCTCCCAGCATGTCTCATGAGAACGGTGCTCAGCCAGACAGCGTCCTCCCCTCCCCCTGCATCCTCAGCCCCCC